TTTAAAAACCAAAATTGATGGGGAAATTAAACTTTTCTAATATCAATAGTAATGTAATTCAAGAGACAAGGAATAACAAAAGAAAAAGGCAAATCTAAAAAATCAAGGTTGGGATGTGACATGGTATAAAATAGCACTAGAAATTTAAGAATGACAGGATGGATAAAGAGATAAAAGGATACAAAATAAGAAGGAGGTTTAGCATAGGGGTAGCAGAAGATATTTAAATTTCAACTTGTAAAAAAACAGCAGCCAAAATAGAGCAAATGAAGAGAAAAGATGACGGTGAAACAAAGAAAACAAATACAGTTACATTATGTGTAATAAATTAAAGCAGTTGAACACCATTGCAATCATCAAGCCTAAACACTATAACAATAAACTAAGAATTTCGGAAACAAAAACCAAATACTGGGCCTAGAAACAAAAGGAACAAAAAAGTCCAGTTAATAATTAGCAGGACTAAGTACACATACAGGTGCACGTTCATTGAGCTAATCACTGAATTTAAAAATGTAGCCTAAATCAGAAGAATCGAAAGGTTTGAAGGACTGGCACAGAAACACATGATTCAGTAGTAGCATGGGGGAACAGAAGTAACAAACTGAAATTATGAGGAAAGGGAAAGTAGACAGAACAGTTCTTCAAAACAGGGGAACATGTGGTAGCCTCAGAAGAAGAAAGGAAAGAAATAACAAAAACATTTCAAAAGGGGGTCTGCAAGGAATAATCTGTGGAAATTGAACTGAATGAGAAAGTTGAAAGAGTGCTGCTGCATAACTGCAAGTCAGTAGGCAACAGAAGAGAATCATGCCAAGGTGGGAAATACAGAGAAACAACCTGGTGAAGCACAGTATGCATTAAAAAAAAAATTGCAGAGTCCTCTGAACCTGACAAATAGAGCAGAAGGAATTGAGAGGCTAAAAACAAAAACCTTGGATCAACATAATTAGCTTCATTAAAAAAAAGAAAGTGAAAAAGAGTAAGCTAATAATAAGAAAATAACTATAAAATTATCTATAGAATAGGAAAGTATACACAAATGAAGTCTGTGACCTGCAGAATTAGAAGAGAGATGCTCTTATAACTTTTAAGATTAGAAATACCACATCCTTAATCCTGCCCAAAATAGCCTCCCTTTTCCTTAGCCAATGATTCAGAAATGTATTCCTCCATAAGTAGGCCTGATTTCAGCTGATTCAACATGCTTCATTCCTGATCAATATTCAGTAGACTATTTAATGTGAAAAGCTTTTCAACAGCTATTTTGCTAGGTGCAATGAAGGCTTTTGACAGGGTTATTTGGTTATGTTTAATTAAACTATTAAAAAGATCATATTTGGGGGGAGATTTTATGGCATTAATTTGTCAGCTGTTCAAGCACTATTCCATATTAATAATTACAATGCTAAATGTCTTGATATAAAAGAGGGACCTAGCGTGACACTCTACTCTTTTCCAATGTTTTTGCAATCTCATTATAGCCATTACTTAGGATGTTCAGAAAGAATCCACAGATTAAAGGAACACTAATTAATCATAAAATCCACACTAATAATCTGTGGCTGATACATTTTTATCTAATCCTCTTAAAGCAATGCAATAGATTTAAAGCAATGCAATAGATTTAAAGGGTTAGGGTTCCCCCCCCTTTTTTTTTTTAAAGTTTTCAGGGCTAAAAATAAATTGTGGAAAGTCAGAGCTCTTTTCTTTGAATACTGTTCTAGCTGTTCAGTTAACAAATTATCTGGTTTTACATTACAATTCAAGTTTTAACTACTTGGGAATTCAAATTACTAAAGATGCAAAACATTTCATCCATAGAATGATAACCCAATAATTAAATGGCTAATGCAGATATTACAATAATGAAATCATGTATTGCTTTATTAGCAAGATTGGGTACTATAAAAACAATGGCACAGCCTAGATTATTTTTTTATACCCTATCTCTACCACCATCTAAGGACACAATAAGAAGTGGAGAAGTATGTTGGATAAATGTATATGCAGAAGGAATAAACCAAGATTTTCCAAGTCAGTTATATATTAATAACAATAAACAATAGTAAACTTGTATGCCGCCCAATTCTCAAACGACTTTGGGCAGCTCACAATGATCAAACAAGGAAATTACAATATATCACTTGGTAGTAAAAGTGGAGATAGCTTCCCCCAATTTATAATGGCATTTATAGGATTTTTATTTGAGAAACATGATGTACATTATACAACATAGTGGAGCTGGGCAATGACCAGCAGCTGAAAAGTATGCTCTTCCTTTCTTTTGGAGTTCTCTCCTTTTGATCTTTTTCCAAGAAAGGCAATTGACTTTTATTTCCAATTTCTTTTATAAGGATACTTTATATGGATATGTAGCTTATGTGGAAAAAATGGGGACATATCTGGTGCCTTAACCATCCTCTGTTTATCCATTTTAATATCACATGAGGATCCTTTGTGGTGTAGGAGTAAAAGGTTGAACTCACACTACAGAGACCAGGTTCAAATCCAGTGTGAGTCATGGAAGCTCACCGGGCGCCTTGAGGCCAATCACTCTCTTTCAACCCAACCTATTTTATAGGGTAGTTAGGCGAAAATGGAAGAGGTGGTGCCAAGTATACTACTGTACCTTGAGCTCCTGAAGGAAAGATGAGATATTAATATAATAAATAATACTTTACTTTATCATTAGGATAAATTCCTGTAGTTTGAGGATTAATTATGGTAATGCTAATGTATAAAGGTGATTATATGTTTATTCCTTGATAGTAATCACACTGATGAGAATTGATTAAACTACTCATAATTTCAAATAAGACAAAAACAGAAATTTGTCCAAACATTAATATATAAACAAAACTCTAGATCCCTTGTGCTCTTTAAGCAGTTATGTTCATCCAGGAAGATATCAACTAGACGTAAAGTTTCACAACTTCATCAAATTTAGAAATAAAATATGAAATGTCTCTTTGGTTAAAAATTGTTTGAGAAGAGGACTTTAACAGCCAAATGGATTATTTGTGTCAGAGTTGACTGTGGATTAGTTGAAAATTAATTAATTAAATCACTTAAATTAATTCAGCACACTAATTAAAATGTGCTGAAAATTCTGCAGAGGTGGCATTTATCATATCTAAATTGTTGCTTCTGTATTGGAAGGAAAATTCAAAATAATCCCTTATAACAATTGATTATACCCTTGTATGTCACATGAAGTGGAATCCTTATATTGCCTCTTTTACAAAGATATTAGAAATAGATATACTGCACCCTTTGTGGACTTCCTAGGATGTACAGATCGTTTTTATATTCAACTGTTGCTGGCTGATCAGTTTGACTCTATGTTCTTAGCAGTGGCCAAATTCTGTTATCAAGATCAAAAGTCAAATTCTGACCCAGCAATATAAATATTTTGTTCTTGAATATTAATTTTAGGGTTTTTTTCACCCTTTCTGTCTGGCTTTTGTATTATGTTTCACCTGTAAGGCACATTTTTCCTTTGATCTTCATCTTATTTTTGCTATGACCATTAATTGAATAATAAATAGATATCCAAATTACATAAAGATAAATTCTACCTCTTCTCCTGAATGTTGGAGGGGATGTGGTGCATAGGGTACTTCGAACAGTATGCGGTCCACATTGTTAACTGATCAAAAACAATTTACAGTCCTGCAGATTATATCATAGATGTTAAGACAATATGCAACCTTTCTTGGAATGCTGTCTTTATTTTTGAGAGATGGAAAGATTCGACGGTATCCACTATGGAGGAATGGTTGGTGAAACTGACAGATCTTGCTGAGATGGATAAATTAACTTCTTTGATTAGAGAAAAGACACTACCATATGAAATCTTTTAATTTTATATTTATGTATATGTATGAATTAATTCCAGATCACTTAATATTGTGGGAGGATATTTTTCTAAATAAACACATTTATAAAATTGATTGTCCCTTTACTTCTGTGTATAGACAAATTTCTTCTATATATTTTTTTCTTAACATCCACAGAAACGCCTTAAGGTTCTTGCCATTCCATTTCTTTCTTTTCATAAGGTACATAATCCACAATGCTTAGAGGTAATGTATTTTTAATACTGTTATTTTAAAAATAAACCTTTGAAGAACGTGACTGTGAGAAATGTATGATGAATTTCTGAAAAACGTAACTGAAAATAAATTCAGCTGACTTGATAAAAGTTAGAAATTAATTAATTTTACCTAATTAATTTAGAAACTAAAGGAACCAAATATAAACATCTGTGGAAACGAAAAGAGCTGCAACCTTCTTGATACTACCACTAGCAAAAACAGGCCATGCAAAAGCTCTTTTTCTCAAAATGGAATCAGTCAATTCGATTCAAAATAATAGCAAACAAAATTATATGTTTCTATAACTTTTTTCTTTTTTTTTTGGTACCTTCAAGTCACTGTTGACTGCTGGTGACTGCCTGGACTAGTCCTTGCAGTTTTCTTGGCAAGATTTCAGAAGTGCTTTG